ATTACTTGAATTTTGATTCATTATTATTTATCAATAACTTTGTTCGCATAAACACGAACTATAATAATATAAGAATCAAGTTCAAAAATTCTTTTTCTGATATCTTGGCCATCTCATCATATTCTTTATCAGAAAGTTGCATTTTTTTTGTTAAAATAGGTTTTAGAGCAACCAATGAAGACATAGCACAACTGACAAGCTATAAATTTAATATAATATTAAAATCTCTTTTAAAATTATTTAGTTTGTATAATACATTACCAATTTACTAAATTCGATGTTGTTGTTGCGATTTACACTATAATAGCATTTTTTCGCCTCTTTTTTAATATTTTCAACTTGACCTAATTTAAAAAGCACATAATTATTAATGAATTATTATGGTAATTTATCTATAAATTCATCTATATTATAATATGCAATTAGATAAAAGCCAAAAACCTTGGTCTTGTAGATATTTCTCTAATTTTAGATATGTATCCCAATCACTGCCTTGTTTTTCTAATATTTCAGCCTCTTAATAATAATTAAATATAATAATATGTAAATAAAAAATAAAGCTATTAGATAACATTAAGATACATACCACAATTCCATAAACGTTGAGTAACTGGCCCTTTATCAAATACATGGGAAGGTTCACATAACTTTTTTAAAAAATATAATGAGCAAATTACACTTATTTAAAATCTTAACAAACACTATTAATTTTCAAATAAAAATACTTCTAAGAATCCGCCTGGTTTTAAAACTCTAACAATTTCATTCAGTACATATGGCCACTTCTCTTTAGTAAATCCAGAAATCAAAAATCGTTGAAATACAAAATCAAAAGTGTTGTCATCAAATGGTAATCCTTCTAGAGCATTTGCTTTAACGAATTCGAAATTTTTAGGTTTTGACTGAGTTGATTGGTATGAAGATATATCTAATCCAATAACTTTAGCTAATGGATATCTAAGAAAACATTACATATGAAGATTAATAGTTTTAAATAAGATTAAGAACTAAAAGACCGCCGGATATCGATTAACTAATTAGATAATAAATTTTACTAAACAAAATCAGAAAAAGTGAAAAGAACGAAAAATACAGTCGACTACCGCAATAGTCACACGCTAAAATCAGCCTTTTTATGTGGTTACTGTGAGATTGTGACTAATATGAGAAAAAATTTTGATATAGCATATATTTGGAATAAATGCATTTATAGAATATACTTAAAAGGATTTAACTATAATAATTTATGATAAGCCAATATTATACTTCTGTGTTATCAATAGTAGCTAAATTTATTGTAATATAAGTACTTTTATCAAGAAAAAGTTTTACCCTTAAATTATCTATAAATATATTTTGCTAAAGCTGATACAATTACAAAATATATACCTGATAATTATAATAATTAATAATACGGTTTTAAATCTGTAGTTTTTTAAACAGAGGTTTTTTTCAATTTTTAGCAGCTACTCTACCTTGTTTAATATATCAAAATATGCCAGGTACGTCAAGAATAACCTGGGTTTACATAAGGAGGCATCTACTATAAGTTCTAATTATATTATATAATTAGAAACTTTACTTTTTATTTGCAATACAGGAAGATGTTCTCCTTATACAAACCCAAGTTATTATTGATGTACCTCTAACACACTTTTAAAGCATTAAACAAGGTATGGTAGCTGTTAAAATTGAAAAAGACCTCTGCTGTTTGTTTTTTTATATTGCTAACAATAATTTTGAAATTATAAAAAA